CTAATTTTTTTGCTATTGTATCTAGACATTGGTTCTGATACTTCGGTCTATAGCGTGGTATGACGTCACAGAACCGCGTCTTGAAGTTACGACCTGCGTCTTCTACACCGCGAGCGTTATTGTCGCATAGCAATTTTCTATGTCAAAATAACAAAATATCAGCTTTGACGGTGGATATTTTGTTTCATGTCTGTATAACCACTCTGAGGATGGCTCAGGTGAGCCGAAAGCTTAGGACCAACTTAATAAAAAATATATCTAAATAGTGGACATTTTTTTTCTTTATTTTCACCAGAAATTAAAGCAAGCATTCAAACACTAGAACAGCTCATGAGCACACATTCACATTCATTTATATATATATATATATATATATATATATATATATATATATATATATATATATATATATATATTCCAGGATCAATTTCCAGTTATTCAAGATGAAGTCCTGGAGTGACAAAGTGCCTCACAAGTTTCCCATACGATTTCATTGTCAAGTCTTTTTTCACTTCTCTTTGGACTGTCATAGGTGAACATCTCTCTTACGTAACAAACGTCTTATGGGTTGAATTGAATCTTTCTAGATTTCTTTTAAGCTCTAAGTTGAAATAACGATCCCTCTTCCTGTTGTAGCCTCCTGATCCAGTTTTCTTCCTTCAGTCAGTTATATGCGATACCTGATACACGCTTAGGCGATCATGTATATTTCGATACATGACTGACGAGGCACATTTTTTCCCGCAGTAGGTTGCCATTTCTTTCTGACGTATATATAGAACACGGTCTGCCCTGCTACTTACCCATAACTGGGGGAGAGAAGAAAAGGATTCATGTCTTAAGTACGTAAGTAAATGTAATGGATTCGACTGGAATTCGAACTCGGCTCTCCGATTCCTCAATCCGTGCCGCTATCCATTACTCCATCATTTCCTCTCTACTGTTTCCTTCTTTAAAACTTATTCACTGTTTTCTTGGAGGTTCTTGAATAAACTTTGAAGATGGAAGCCAGAGTACTAATTTTCATACCATTACAGAAGGCAAGAATAATCATTTTCCTCTTACCATTGCTCATTTTGGAAGTTTTAGGATGGCTAATTATGCTGTAACACGACTTGGACAATTTTACTGTTACATCGGGTTTTATATATATATATATATATATATATATATATATAAAGAACAGTAAGATATTATTGTGAGACCGGAAACTACCTACACAATAGACTCTTCCAGGCCTATATTAAGTAGGCGACATAGCACTCTAGAGAGTGACACAGAGTGACAGTGAGAGACTAGTATGACTACCAGTGTTGGACACTAACTTATAGTAAGCTCCGCTTACACTATCTCTGTAACCTGTTGTTAATATATCTTTCTTACTTCTAATCCGTGTTCCTTGTTTTACTTCTGTGGTCCCAACTTTGGCCCCACATCAGATATATAATCCGGTGTTCTTATTGATAGTTTTACAAAATAGTGCTCAATGTAAATTTACAGAGCATTAATGTTATAAATTAACTGATTTAAAATATGTTTTTTTTCGCTATACAGTAATAACCATGTTTCAAAAATGGAAGCTAAAAGTTTCAAATTTAATTTTGTAATTAAATTAAAAACACTAGTTCCATTTCATCCTCAAGAGAATGTTGCAGTAACTTATTTTTTTTTAAATATACTGAGTTTTAAAGCCACAGAAAAATCATAATTCACTGTTTCCAAGAATACAGAGAGATCCAATCATTCAGACAAGGATTGGTAGCGTGTTCATTTTTATTAACTTTTGTTGTATCAGTTATTAGTTACGTTCGAAAAAGAGATTATGTTTAGGTAGAGGTAGGGTTGTATTTTTCAACGAATTCTGACATCCGTTAAATGCATGTCGTCTGGGTTTTTTTTTTTTAATTTTATTGTTAACGGCAAAAAATTCTTACGGCATTTTTTCTATTTGTATACTTAAAGATTTTTTTTTGTGGGAGGGATGTTTAGATTCGAATACGTTTTATTTAACTACAATTTTAAAATATTTTCACTTTTAATTTTTAATAGACTATATTTCTTTTAAAACAAGTAAATGTACTAGAATTACTTACAGTATATAAAATTATTTTTCCCATATTAAGTATAAGTATGTATATTACCAGCTCACATTTTTTAATTTTATATTTAAATATTATTTAAGGAAAGTTTTTGACAATGACGGCAAAAAATAGCTAATTCATTTCTCTGATCCTGTAAACATTTTTTATAAACTTAGTAATATATATATATATATTTATATATATATATATATATATATATATATATATATATATATATATATATATATGAATCTCTAAGTCGTGTTATCGACTTTGGATATTATGTATATTCACTAATATATACCTGTAGGTCTATTTCATAACATTGAGCACTGTATTTATAAAACCTGAGGAATAAATATACTTACTTTAAACCACACTTTCAATGTTTGCAACATTTAATTTAAAAACGGCTCAGTATACAGTAGGGCAATGTTATTTATTTTCGGATATTACAACAAAAACATGTAAGAATCACTACGCAATTGCAGTCGTGTTCCAATGCATAACAATGCGTCTCCTCAGGCGATTCAAAATTACTGGCGAGTGAATGATTAATTTGGTTTCAACAGCAAAGCACATCCTCTTTGTTTGAAAAATATATAGGGCTTGAGGGCTTTACCCTAATCAACCAATCGAATTTGACCTACGTTAAATTAAAACTAAGCGAAAAAGAAGAAAATTAGAAATTATTCTCTTAGAAATGTGCCATAACCTAGAGTTGGTATTTAACAGCAGCCAGACATTAACTGATACAGATGGTTACAATAAATATACACATGCCAGACAGTCAACCTTCATAAGAAATAAATGCGAGGTGTAGAAAGGTAACCCCCACTTTTATTTCTTAAGTTAAGCAGCAGTATAATACTCATTAAAAGAACAGTCCACCTAGATATGTATAGCGGAATCGACTTTCAGATCACTAAAATCTTAACCTGTTCAAATGTAAGATTAACTGTTATCTTCCCCACATATCCTCATAAACTGTGCCACTTACCTCTTACTCTGTAATGCTCTACCTCGAATGGCTCTTGGGCTTTCTATTTGTTGATCATTATTATAATTTATGTATTTTCAGGAGTCGTATTTGTGACCATTCAGAATTATAATGTAAGTGGACCCAGTAGTGCAAGAAGAGATAACTATCTGAACGCATCGTAATATTGAAAATATGACAATCAAATGTTACGAACCACAAGAGATAACATAGAATTAACCGTTTAGTTATTGATAGAAGAACAACTAAATTAGCATAAAATGAATTTATTTATATATTTACAGACATTAAATGTCGTAATCATCGCTTAGTATCATTCCAATTGGCGCGAACTACAACATCAAATCAAGGACGAATGGAGGAACGCACTTTAGCAATTATTTCATAAGAAATGTTTTGCCTTTTCTCTGCATATGCTCTTACAAGTTCTTGGACTTGTTATGCATCCAAGTATTCAACTCTCCATATAGATTAAAATCTGTTCAATCACAAATGTTCTGCCATTTCTGGCGGTAAACCCAAAGCTCTTGCAAGTTCTTTGGCTTTCTTTTATACGCTTGAATTTTCAACTTTCCGAATGAATAAAATTATAGTAATATCTAACAGCCCTCACCCCACGTGGGATGTATGTGGCGCAAGGCCGGGTTTACCGTGTGTTCTCCGAGCCCGTAGGCTCGGCCAAAAATATTCCCTTTGAAGCCGCATAAACGGGTTCAGGGACTGTAATACCTCCCCGGATGAAACTTTGCCCTGCGGCAAAGCCTCGTCTGGGTTCCTCTCTGCCGAGGCAGAGGGTTTGACACTTACGAACAGTCTGGTCGACTCTTCCAATGAATAAAATTATGTTAAAGTCAGTGTTTTGGTCAAACCAAACTTATAATACTGCAACGTCTTCATAAATGATTGTTTGGTTTGTTTTACATCATATCAACCGCAATTGATTATTTAATGCCGATAAGGTTTTTTGGGATAGGTTCGTATGAATAGAATATGTATTGCTAATATTTTTTTTTTCAAAATTGCATTGCTAGTAATATTTTTTCAATAATATAACTGCTAATATTTTTTCTTTCAAAAATGTGTTACTGGTGATATTTTTTCCAAAAATGTACTACTGGTATTTTTACTATAAAAATGAATTTTTTTACTTTCATGGTATTTTGACCCCAATTTGGGGTTAACTATTTGCCCATGGTAGGACCATAACAGGTGCTACTAATTCGGGTCAGGAGAGACCTGGGAACAACAGCAATTAAGAGTGGTCCCACGCTCCTCAAAACGTCCCGATCCTTGCTGCCGGATGTAGTATATCATCATACCCAGGACGTTCATTAATGAGAAACTTCTTTCTTACACGCGATATATAACAAGATGATCCATCATGTTGAAATATTTCACCTTTTGTGATATCTGAAACATATTAATATCTGGTAGAGTAATATATTTTTGCTGTTCGATATTCTATCGATTTTTTTCAACTTTCTTATACCATTGCTTTTGTATATAGCCTCAAGCTATTAAAACCCCGTCACCGAATTTTACTGTCTTTGTTGTATGTTTTGGAATGTTTCTCGTAATGATTAATCTTTGGAAATAATCTCTTGCGTTAGAATCCAGTTCTGTTTTGCTTTTATGACAATATATCACTTCTGCCCATTTTCCATTAACCAATACTTGATGTCCTTTATTCCAATGTTTCCGTCTCAATGATTTCTCTTTAATGTTGGCTCTTTATTTCTTATTATATGAATTGGCTGAATGGCCACGTGGCCGAAGACTTTCGCATTCTTACCATGAGACCCGGGTTCGAATCTCATCATGCCGTGGAAATTGAAGCAGAAAGAAAGAAAGGAAACAAACAAACAATATAAAAAAGAGATTTTTTTATAAATCAAATAAAGAAAGAAAGAAATTAATACTTAATATGAAGAAAGAAAGAAAGAAAGAAAGAAAGAGAGTAAAAGAAATGTAATCTGAAAAGAAAGAAAGAAAGAAATGCTTAATAGAAAGAAAGAAAGAAGGAAAGAAAAAGAAATGGAATCTGAAAAGAAAGAAGCAAGGAAAAAAGAAATGAATGCTGAAAAGAAAGAAAGAAAGAAAGAAAGAAAAAAGAAATGAATACTGAATAGCAAGAAAGAAAGAATGAAAGAATGAAAGAAAGGAATAGAGAAAAAGAAATGTAATTTGAAGAGAAATAAAGAAAAGGGAAATGCTTAATAGAAAGAACGAAAGAAAGAAATTAATGCTTAAAAGAAAGAAAGAAAGAAAGAAAGAGAGAAAGAAAAACAAATGGAATCTGAATAGAAAGAAAGAAAGTTGAAAGAAAGAAAGAAAGAAAAGAAGAAGAAGAAGAAAAAGAGAAAAGAAATGTATAAAATGGAAGGTAGATAAATAAATTTAGTAAAACTAAATCAATTGAAATGAAATGTATGCTCTTTAAAGCAACAACAACATCTGATGGCCTCAATGAAAGATAACGCAGGAAATGATCTACCAAATGTCGGGTCGTAGACAAAGTCACCTAAATAACTCACACCAACCACAACCACGATACACATAAAGAATAAGACCAATAACAATGAAATACCAATAATATTGAACACTACATTGAAAATATCATTTTAAGCAGCACTCAATTGCTAATGGTGGCCATTAATTGTATTATCGATCGATTAATAACGAGTCTATCGGTTTTTTACTCCAAAGCACTAAGAAGTCATATTCTCATCACCAAAATGGTCCTTTTATGATTAAAGGCGAAGTCAACTGAAGAAATCGATATTAACACTTCGAAGAGAATTTAGTCTTCAGTTGACGGTTAATAACAGACAACAGGAAAAAATAGAGTTGAGCGGTGAAGACACTTTAAATAGCATTCAGTTGAAAAGAAGCTGTAGTTTAATTATTAGAGCGGAACTTCGTAAGGCGACATTGGGAAAGAATTCGAATTATTCCTTTATTAATTTTTTCTTGGGTTTGGCAGAAGAGAAAAGTTCTCATTATATTCATAAATCTATTTATAATATTTAGAAATCTACCATTCGTCCATGCATTGAACATTGCTGTTGTTGACCATGTTTGCCGCAGTCTCTGAATATGGAATCCGGTGAAATTCCGTAATCTGTTCAATATCAGAGGTTGGCAGGGAAGATTCAGAGAAAGTAGCGGTTGTTAAGTAATTCTTTAAGTCTTCGATATCAGGTTGACAGTGTAGACAATTAGGGAGAAAAAAATTGTTGCCTTTATACACGTCGCATTGAATATTTTGAGCTTTCTGATTGGTTAAACCGTCTATTGGTGAACTATAAAATGAGTCAGCTGATTTAGGCTAGCTCACTAGTAAACATACCCAAAAAACTGCAACACCCCCTCATTTTTGGGTATATTATGGAATCTTCTTTCAAAATATTAGTAAAGTCAATATTCATATGAAACAAATATTTTAGTATTCAGATTTTTTTTTTTTTGCATTCATAAAATAATTAATTTTTATTTTATTTTTTTTTTTAAATTAATATCCACAAAAATTAGTTATATCATTTTGTCCACAGTTAAGTACTTCAGGTTAATAAACATTAACAACAATATTATAAATTTGGGTTGTGATCACAACAAAAAAGTGGAAAAAGTTGATATTTTACCCATAGCTGGGACCCATTAAAACAGTCACTATCACTCCGGGTCAGAGTGATCCTGAGAGTAATTCAAAGGAGGATTGGGCTAAAAGTAGGACTACTTACATTTATACCCCGAAACTAAGTTTTACGTCTTGCCCAGGACTAATAAGGACCTTAGAGATCAGTACCAAATATTACAGGAATGAAAGCCCCTAATTTTTAATATCATAATTCCTAGTCTGATAGGTTTGAGGGACTGGTTTTCTGAATTTTTTAAATGACGTTCTCAGTTGCATTACGTTATTTCCTTGATTTTGGGGGTACACATTTTTTCAGTTTCTTCATAACTACGTAACGCAATTTTAAACTCAGTGAAAGTTAATTTTTTACCTTTTGACTTATAACTATCGTTAATTTTAAGGCATTTGTGACATTCTCAGCTCGTATAATATAATCTGTTACAGATTCATTTTCTCGTCTCTTTAACGCGGTTAGTTCAGTATATAAAGCAATAATTTTAGGCTTACCTTTTGACAAGTAGTGTTCTCGCAAAATTTGTAGAGGTCATCGTCCATTGTCCTTGGCTTCTCTCATTATCAAAGACAAACTCCTGTCATCCAGGAATTGTATTAATTCGGCGAACACGGTCGCATTTCTTTCCATAAAATCATCATCTTCTTTCTTGTCATCTTGGCAAAGAATGGTGTCATGAAGTTTTTGTATTCTAAGGTAGCCTAAGAATTTGGTTTCCCATAATTCAAACTTGGTTTCGTCTCCGTTAAAGTACAATCAGAACGATTGTTGACCATGTTTGCCGCAGTCTCTGAATATGGAATCCAGTGAAGTTCGTAATCTGTTGAATATCAGAGGTCGGCAGTGAAGATTTAGAAAAAGTAGCGGTTGTTAAGTAATTCTTTAAGTCTTCGATATCAGGTTGGCAGTGCAGACAATTTGAGAGAAAAAAATGGCTGCCTTTATACACGTCGCATTCAATATTTTGAGCTTTCTGATTGGTTAACCCTTCTATTTGTGAACTATAAAATGAGTCAGCTGATTTAGGCTAGCTCACTAGTAAACATACCCAAAAAACTGCAACAGCTGTCACATCTGGTTTGGTGTTTCTGCTATGTGTTTATAGATTCTTGATAAGTTTCAAAGGAGAATCTCCATTGTTATTGGTTCAGACCTGGCATTTCGGCTTCAGTCACCTTCCGACTGCCGTATCATAGCTTCTTTAAAACATTTATATAAATATCTTCATGGCATTTGTTCTAATGAATTATTATAATCGCTGTGGTAACTAGATTTTATGAATTTAAGCTCAGCACTAGATTGGCAGATAGGTCCCATCCTTTTACATTTCAAATTGCTAGATATAACCGTAAGTTCTATGCTAACAGTTTCTTCTCCCGCGCTTTTCGCTTGTGGAACTCTCTTCCTACTTCTCGCTTTTTTGGTCAGCTTTGATTTTCAAAAGTGTAAGGGCAGTATCAATTATTATCTTTTGTATTCTTAATTCCTGTTCTTTTATTGTTTATTTTTTATCCGTTCTTTTGTACCCATTAACTCCTTTGTGTGTTAGTGGCTTTATTGCCTTTCTTTGGGTGAAATGATCTTAAGAAAAGAAAAGAAAAACATGAGGTATGTCTGTAATATTACTAAAGACAAATTTACATGGTCTAAAAAGAGACAAAAGTACCTAATGATATTTCTCAACTACGGAACTCTTTTCAGGTTTCTTACTTTCAACTTTGATCTTCAAAAGTTTAATTGCAATGTCAATCGTTATCTTCTGTCTTCCTAATTCCTCTTCTTTTATTGTTCTCTCTCCTTAATAATGTTTTGTTTTTCTCATACTCTCCTACACTCAGTAGCCCCCTTGCGTTTTAGTGGCTTTATTACCTTGCTTGGAGGTACAGTAATTAAAAGACATTCTCAAAGCTCTAAATTAACCTAAATAAATGCCACGTTCCTTGAGAATATAATTGTTCATAGCTCTCCACACTTTCCTCTTCTTTATTGACATGACTTTTTGAGAATGATAGTGTAGTTATTTCCCGTTATTTCCTTCGCGAGTTTGAGTTCAGAGTAGTCCTTCTCTTGAGCTATGTACTGCCCAAAGCTAGAGAGCCAAGTCTACTGTGTTATTTAACACCCAACTGAAGAGAGGAAGTGACAGTTTCATACCTTTCCAAAAAAATTTGTGTGAAAGTGAGCGCAATAAAATAGTCTGGAACTTGAACTCAATTGATTTCTATGGCTGCGTTGATAATCGTTACACTTCTTCTTTTATGTACCGTATCGTCTTAAAACATAGGTGGTCATGGATCTCCACAACTTCCTGTCTATTGCTGCTATATGTGACCGTCCCTCATTCACCGCGGTTTCATCCATTTAGCCAAATGCATTCGTTAGGTTACTCGCTGTTTCCCTCTACCCTTTTTACCATCAACATATACCTATGAGAATTAAATTTTCCAAACCTTCTTTTCTCATAATATTTTCCAGAAATTTACACTGCTTCTTTCTGATTTTAAGTATAAGTGTAGTTTGTACCTTCTTCTGAACTTTCGTGTTGTTCTATCCGTAATATTCCCAGTATCCTTCTGTAGAACCACATTTCCCCGCTTCTTCGATTCACTTATTCATCTATAACAGAACTGTCCAGAATTCACTGCTAAAGAGCAGGTTTATGTATGATATAGCAGTTCAGCATTTTTTGTTCCTACAGACATTTCAATATATGTCAATACTTTGCATCCCATCTCGCAGGGTCTTCTTTCAGACAAACAAAATGGTTTTCGCTGCTCTAGGTCAACTGCTGATGAGCTAACAGCCATTGTTGAAAGAATCTATCAACTTTAGATAAGAACGGTGAGGCTCGGACTGTTGCTTTGGATATCGCGATGTCATTTGACACGGTTTGGCATACTGGTCTTCTTCACAAGGTGAAAAGTTCTGATCTCACCAGACGAATTTTTTCCGACTTTCTTATGAAATTGTAAAATAAAGGTTTTCCTGAAAATTCTTTGCTCTTACGCCTTTGGTAACCTGACGACCATAATTTCTGTCTTCTTATATCTGATAGCATTTTCCCAAAGGCCCTAATACCAGCAATATATTTTGGAAAAAATGTTACCAGCAATACATTTGACTCTCGACAAAAACCCTCTTTATAAAAATACATCAAGAAAACCTGATCTACAAACTGATTTCTTACAAAGAATATATATTTTGTTTATACAATCTGTCCTAAAAAAACCTTGTTGGCATTAAATAACCCATTGAGATTGATATGCCGTAAAATAAAAAGAATCTAAATCTTTTACGTCATCGTACTATTATTATTGTTTTTATTACTACACCTTGGGTCGATATTACTATTATTATTAACATTTTGTTATTACTATTATTAATTACACTCAGTATTATTATTACTATTGTTTTCATTTCTATATATTGTGTTGATTCATTCTTCAATATTAGACAACATTAATATTTCTA